ATCTACTAGCGTTCTATCATGAATGCCATCCTCTGATTGGCTATGCTACTCGCGTTCTATTCTGAGATAGATAGTGAGTAGCATAGCAGCGTGTGCTTGGGGCTGCTTCTTTGTGTTTTCGAAGTGTCTGTGAAGAAGATTTAGGTGAAAGTTTTGAACAACTAGTAGATTTATACTAAAACAATTAGATTATTCGCTCCCAATTTCTATGCATGATAGTTGACTCTGGCTGCACCCTCGTCAATAGAAATCGATAGAAATCTTGAGTTCATAATCTAATTGTTTAAAAGTGCACCGCACCATTCATAATGGTGCGATGCACTGTTAAACCCTAGGTCTAAGCTTGAGGATAAATGTAGTGGACGCTTCTTACCTTGATTTGGGTTCACAACTTTCTTTAAGGTGAGGTTATTTTCTTCTCCTATTTATAGGCAGCTTCTCTNTTATAATACATGTGTACCTGTATGTTCATTGTTATCTTGGATCCAAGGTTAAGGCAAAGGCCAAAGCAAAGAAGCAGCTGCTATTTAGTGTAGCCAATAAGAGAACAGCATTTGTGATAGAACGAAAGTAGATTTATACTAAAGTTTTATTAGTATAAATCTACTAGCGTTCTATCATGAATGCCATCCTCTGATTGGCTATGCTACTCGCGTTCTATTCTGAGATAGTTAGTAGCGTAGCAGCGTGCGCTGGGGGCCGCTTCTTTGTGTTTTTGAAGTGTCTGTGAAGAAGATTTAGGTGAAAGTTTTGAACAACTAGTAGATTTATACTAACACAATTAGATTATTCGCTCCCAATTTCTATGCGTGATAGTTGACTCTGGCTGCACCCTCGTCAACTATCGCGCGATAGAAATCTCGAGTTCATAATCTAATTGTTGAATAGTGTACCGCACCATTCATAATGGTGCGATGTACTGTTAAACCCTAGGTCTAAGCTTGAGGATAAATTTAGTGGACGCTTCTTTCCTTGATTTGGGTTCACAACTTTCTTTAAGGTGAGGTTATTTTCTTCTCCTATTTATAGGCAGCTTCTCTCCCCATCTCTATTATTATTGTTGGTGTGGGACCGGCAGAATTTGATGGTAGGTTTGTTTATGGTAGTTTTTTTGT